GGCTGCGGGGGGGCGGGCGCGGCCGCTGCCGCCGTTAGAACCGGCCGGGCCGGGGCCCGAACCGGAACCGCGTGTTGGGCCGCCCGTGTGACTGTGTTTGTTAAAACAGGGCGTCTGCCCAATGCAACGGGGGCCATTTAGACGGTTAATCCCTTCTCTCCCCGCCCCTCCTCAGTTTCTCGTATGAAAAATAGGGCAAACATTGTATAGGGTTGTATACAGCCCCCCGGTAGTGTGCCAGGCTCGTCGTTGGCTGCTTTTTGTGCTTTTTTTGCTGATTATTATTGTTATTTTTCCCCTGAGGGTATATTTGTAGTGTGTATGTACTATATGTTGAGCTATATGTTCAGGGGGAAAAAAAACTTCATAATACATATTTTATATACAATATATAACCCCAAATACTGTGTGTTGGGAGAGTATGCCCATGTCTGTAGGAGATTTTGCTTCTCCGAGGGGGCCTCTTCAGGGAGCCCTTTCAGCCTGTTGGGAGGAAGGGGCTGTGCGCTCCGACGCCTGTGAAATGGGGCAAAACTTGGGCACTTCTGCGCTTCGGACCATGCATCCGCGTGTCTGTGTCACGGGTTTGTGCTTGCAGCGTTGTGTTTGTAGGATGAACTAGCTAAACAAAGTATGACTGTATATACCTATATTGCTGTAGACTAGATTTTATTATTTTAGTTTTCTATTTCTGTTTTGGGGAAACATCAGGAATGAGGGATGTGAACAGCACAGTTCACCTGCCTGGAGTTTCAGGGGAGCTACTGAGTGTTTGCAGGGCAAGGCAGAGGTCAGAGCCAGTTTAACACCAGGAAAATGTTTTGGGTCCTTTCCTGGCCTCCGCAGAACTGCTGTTATTTCTTTGTTTTTGATAACTTACGAAAATAATAACAATAAATGACCACAAACCATACACACGATAGTTCAACCTGCTGCAAATCCCCGGGAAGAGGCAGCGTAAGGAGCATGAGCGCAGGAAAAACGTAAGATGAATATTGATCTATTGACTGAAGTGGGAGTCTTAAAGCTGTGCCACCTGTTTTTCAGCTGCAAGTCTTCTGAGGTGCTACTCCTGGGAGTTACCAACCCATGTTTTCCTTTCCTAGGCAGCTATAGGGAAAACCAGCTCAGAGCTGCAGCGCCTTTCCCTGCTCTCTGGGATTCCACTGTGCGTGTGGAAAAGCAATGGAATTGATCCACTGTCCTCTCTAACGTGGAGATCAGGGTAATGTCCTCCTATCTTATCCAGTTCCCCAGTGGCTAGCTCTGGTGGGGGATTCCTGGAAATGGGAGAAGCAAGCCTGGTGGGTTGGCAACGTGTGGTATAGTGCCAATCACCCTAAAACCTCAAAAAGGGCCCGCAATAACTTCTTCTTTTTTTTTTTTTTTTTAGTTCTTCCAAACCCATGGTTATTTACTTAATTTAAGTGATGGAAGCATACGTTAAAAAAAATAGAAAACTGTCAGGTCTTTCATATTCATACCACTGTGAAAAACAGTAGGATGTTCCATGAAAACACATCAGCTGGTGGGTTAAATTTAGTAACCGCATCGACTGAAGATGGTGCCTTCCAAAAAAAAGGCAATAGTGCAAGGATCCTTAGCCCAGAAGAAGCTGAGAGACTGGCAAAAGATAAGGTTTTGGTGACTGATTTCAAACAAGCAAA